AAGTGGAACCTCCCTGGAAAAAGAGACCTGGAGTTTAGCAGCTCTCTCCAGCAAGGTAAAATGAGAGGTCTTTTGTTCCCTGCTCATTCGCACATAGCCTGCTGCTTGGGGAGAGGTCTCCATCCTCTAGTTGATAGGCTTTGTACCTGTAATTTGTTTTCTTGAATGCTCTTCCTTGGAGTTACAGCTTGCTGAACTTCTTTCTTGGCTCAGCTCCCCGTCTTTGGCTTCATAGAGTCCGATTCCATCCAGTTTTTCTTTTCGTGCTCAGGAGCCTCTGCTGAGGGTTGCTACCAGACGGCCATCTTCCCAGAATTCCTCCCTGGCAACATTCTTGAAAAAGCAAATATTAACATGTGTTTCCTACTCTTTCTTAAGTCTATTCTGTGTTATCTCATATGGGGACATGTTCCCAGAAGGTTTACACTACGTATCAATTAAACTAATCATTCTGAACATCTCTTTATTTCCTCAGTCCTTAATTCTATTTTACTAATTAAAATGTTAGTCTTGCAAACTGTGTCTTTGCCTAGCCTTTGATTCTGGTAGCCTTTTTCTCCTGATTCACATTCATTTCTTCTAAGACTTTTGTCTGTCAAGTCAGGCACCAGCACCTATTACCAAACATAACTTAATTTTATTCATGTCTATGGTTAAATGCCTTTTTATTAAACTTCAATTTATTCCATGGTAAATACCACATGTAGCCCTTTTCTCTTCTTTGAGAACCTCTTTAGTTTTTAGTCAGTGCCACTTTCTGTTCAGAAATTCCAGTATGGAAGATCAAGGAACTTTGAGAAAGGAAGGAGAACCAAGCTCTTGGTGCCTTCTTTTTAAAAGATGGTAAACACAGGAGTGGCCTTTTAAAGTAATTGAAGGAATAAAATGTCCCTAATGAATGGTAGCTTTTTATTCTTAGGAACATAAAACTTAAAATAATTTCTAAATCAGTCTTAATAGCCCCATGTGGTACTTTGTATCCCCCCCTACCAAAAAAGGAGGAATGGAGATAATAGTTTAAAATAGCATGGTGATATAGTTAAAAGAAACAATGGGAATGGACTGGACTGACTCTGAGGTTTTATTTTGTCTTAATACTAGAAGGAGTGCCTTTTCTTTATTTCCTTTGAAATGCAGATACTGAAATTTTAATAATGATTTGGGTCATCCTGGCCTAATAAGCTAATTTTTAGAAATTCTATTTTGAGATTTGAAGAGTGTGTAGAGGGTAGGTTATTTGAGGAATTGGGTTAAAAAGGCCAATTTAAAAACCATACACAGGGAATATGGAAGTGTTCTCTGAAGTCACTTAAAAGAAAAATCCAAATAGATTAATTTTGTGGAAGAAAAGGCATAAATAAAGCAATTCTGGTACAGTTATTTTAAAATAATTTAGAACTCATGTCTTAAGATGTAAGGCAGTACTTTCTTTGACATATGTGCCAACAAATTGTCCTCTGGCATTAAACATTGATGTCCCAGGTCACAGAAACATGTAGGACTTTGATAATTAGGAAAATTTCTAGCTTTAATAGTTATTTTTCTTAAAATGAAGTGGACCACATGAGGGGAGAACTTTTTTTACTGTATAAATTTGCTTTATTTGGAATATATCATAATGTAAAAGTAAGAACATACATTTTAACAAAAATAGTATATGTATAACTATACTTACATTGTGAACATTTTAAAACATTTTAAAAAGTTGTTTAAAAATGTACTTGGAAAATATAATTGCCGTTTATATAGGAGGCAAAATACTTATTTCTGTGTTATATATGAGCTTCTGGAAATAAGAAAATCAACAATTTAGTAGAGAACATAGTTTATGTAACATAATAGTTCATATAAGAAGATATGTAAATGGCTCTGAAAGAGTAATCAACTTTATGCAAAATAATAATGTAAACGTATTTTTAGTTACCATTTTTTTGCCTATTGGGAGAATTCCAAAAATTTGATAAAATAACTATTGGTAAGATTATGAGAAAATAGGTACAATTACGCCTTTTTGGTATATGAGATGGTAGATACCCTATACCTTTTGAATTTCCTGTGTGGTTTCTACTGTCCTGAACTTAAATATTGTGGTTATGTATATACTAATATGTTAAAGGTATTTTAACCTTTATATAAGTGGAATCCTATTGAAATGTAATTTTTTGTGGCTTGCTTTGTATACAACAGTATGTTTTTATGATTTAGCCATGTTGTTGCATACATCTAATTTATAGTTCATTTGTATCACTGTTATGTTGTTTTTTGATATATGAGTATTTTATCATTTATTCATTCTACTATAGATATTTAGATCATTTCCATTTTTGTTTTTGGCTACTATGAACAGTATAGTCATAAGAATTATTGTACATGTCTCCTGATACAGTTCATAGGAGTGGAATTGTTGGGTTGTACAGGTTTGTGCATTCTTAGCACAGATAATGATGTAATGTTTTACCAGGTAATACTGATGATACTCTTCAAAGTAATATAGTTTCCATTTTTCAATTTTTTTTCCACATTTGAGTATTGTCAGATTTGTTAAAGTTTTGTCAATTACTGACTATGAGTTTTTAATTGTACTCTGAATTTGTGTTTTGCTAATTGCTAATAAGATTGAACATGTTTTCATGTGTTTATTGGCCATTAATGTTTCTTTGAAATTCCTATTCGTGGTTTTTTTTTTTCCTTTTTTGTTTCTGATTGATTTGGAGGGGTTCGTAACTTTTTTCTATTTTGTATTATAAATAATCTTATCCCACTCTGTGGCTTTTTTGTTTTCTTTCTAGTATCTCTTAATGAGTAGATTTGACATTTTTAATGTAGTTGAATTTTAAAATCTTTTCTTTTATAATTAGTGCATTTTGCATCTTATTAAATTCTGCCCTAGCCCAGGTCAGAAATACAGTTTCTCTTATTATCTTCTAAAAGTTATAAAAGGTTTGCTCTTCATGGGTAAACTTTACTGTATTGGAATTAATTTCTAAATGATATGAAGAGTCTAATTTTCAGAGTTATTTAGTCTTTTTTTTTTCCTATAAGTAACTAGTTGTCTCAACATATTAATGAATAGTTTTTCCTTTTCCCATTGATCAGCAAAGTCACCTCTCTGACTTACCAGTTGTGTCGAGGTCTATTTGGGGATCTTTGTTCTGGTGGTTAATTTGTCTAACCTTGCATCAGTTGCTTTGTTGCCTTAATTGTTATTATGGCTTTATGTATGTTAAGACTTAATATGTGGTTTTGGAAGTCATTTCACATTTTTCATTAGCAGTGTTTTAACAGTTTGGGCACCTTGGCTCTTCTTCGTATGTAAGAAACAGTTTGTTAAGTTTCACGAAAAACCTTGTTGAAACTTGGAATTGCATTGACTATTTGGACTGATTTAGGAAGACTTGATGTCTTAATTATATTGAATCTTTCTTTCTTGAATTTGGATTCTCTCTCTAGTAGTTTAGATTTTATTTAATGTCTTCGAGTAAAATTTTATAACTTTCTGCACACTAGTCAAGCACATCTTTTATTATTTTATTTCTAAGTACCTTGTCAGTTTTTTTTTGTTGTTGTTCCTTATATAAACTGTGAATTTTTTTTTTTTATGTTGGGTGTAAAAACAGTTGATTTTGTTTTTTAAATTGATCTTGGCTAAACTCTCATTCTTTCCAAAAATTTGTCTATAAATTCTTTTGGGCTTTTAATGCAGATTATCATTTCCTCTGCTAAAAGGGACAGTTTTATTTCCATTCAAATTCTTATATATGTTTTTCCTTTTTTCATGGACTGACTAGTACATCTTGTACAGTGTTGAATAGAAGCACCAATTCTGGGCATGTTTCTGTTCTAAATTTTAAAGGAAATGGGTCTAATATTTTTCCATGAAGAATGATAATTTGTTCTACATTTGGGGTAAATAAAATTTGTTTTCTCCCATTCCTACTTTGCTAATCCTTTTTCATATATTTTCTCAAATGCTTTTCTTCATCTTTTCTAGTAAGATGGCTACATTATTTTGCTCATATCAAAGGCTACTGTGATAAATTGTACATATACTTTTTTTTCAGTTTAAACCACATTTGTATTCCTGAGATAAATCCAACTTGATCATGTTACAGACTTTTGTACAGTATTGTATTTAATTTGATAATCTCTATCAGGAAATGTAAAGTGAGCCAGTTATTATTTCACATATAGCACCAGATATAAGACTCCTGGGTCAGCAAAAAGAACATTATTACTTAAGCTACAAAATGGATCCAGATGCACAATATGTACACAGTGAGTTTGTATTGCAATTGAGTAATCTAGGTCCAAGGGTCCAACACTTTTTTTTTCCAGTTTTTGGCCAGGGCTGGGTTTGAACCCACCACCTGCGGCATATGGGGCCTTTTGAGCCACAGGCACTGCCCCTAGGGTCCAACACTTTTTGGGCAATCATCTGTTATTGTAGCAAGCAGCAAAAAACTATTCTTGTCTCCCCAAGGGAACAAACAGTTACATACTAATAATGCTTTGGTTGCCTTGACCCATTTAGTTGCCTATGTAAGTAGCTACAGAGACATTCAGTATCAAGAGACAACTACTATCTGTGAATCTGTCACACTCACCAGGAATGCACAAAGATGCGCAAGGCCCATATGGATGAACTACCTGTCTCAGTAATATTTCCTAAAGGATTTTTCTCTATATGTTCATGAATATAGACCTTAAGTGTGTGTAAGGTTTATATTGACCTTTGAAATAGTGGGGAAAATTCTGTATTTTTCCTTAATCTGAGTTTGAGTAAGGTAGAACTTATCTGTTCCTGTAAATTTTGGTACAAAAATCCTATAAAACTATCATTGCCTCATGTTTTCTTTGTGGAAGATATTTATCTACTATTTTAATGTATTTGTAGTTACAAGAACTATTAAAAAATTTCAGTCCTCACTCGCCACTGACAACCTGCCACACCATGCGCACGCCTTGCCCCTGCCTCACAGAAATGCTTTGATTACCCACAGTTCTTTGCCAGATAAGACCAGTGTCCAGGGCACTGGCTCCCCATCTCACTCGGGCTTATGCCAAAGATGTAAAATTTGATGGAGATGCTCGTGCCTTAATGCTTCAAGGTATAGACCTTTTAGCCAATGCTATAGCTGTTGCAATGGGGCCAAAGGGAAAAACAATGATTATTGAACAGAGTTGGAGAAGTCCCAGAGTAACAAAAGATGGTGTGACTGTTGCAAAGTCAATTGACTTAAAGGATACATATAAAAATAGTGGAGCTAAACTTGTTCAAGATGTTGCCAATAACCCAAATGAAGAGGTTGGGGATGATACCGCCACTGCCACTGTGTTGGCACGGTCTATGGCCAAGGAAAGCTTCGAAAAGATTAGCAAAGGTGCTAATCCAGTGGAAATCAGGAGAGGTGTAATGTTAGCTGTTGATGCTGTCATTGCTGAACTGAAGAAGCAGTCTAAACCTGTGACAACCTGTGAGGAAATTGCTCAGGTTGCTACAATTTCTGCAAACGGAGAGAAAAAAATTGGCAGCGTCATTTCTGATGCAATGAAAAAGGTTGGAAGAACAGGTGTCATCACAGTAAAGCAGCAGTTCTCAACCTGTGGGTCGTGAACCCTTTGTAACAATGAAAATACATCACAGCATTAGGAAGGATGAGAGCCACTTAAGTAAAGGATGGAAAAACGCTGAATGATGAATTAAAAATTATTGAAGGCATGAAATTTGATAAAGGCTATATTTCTCCATACTTTTATTAACACATCAAAAGGTCAGAAATGTGAATTCCAGGATGCCTATGTTCCATTAAGTGAAAAGAAAATTTCTAGTGTCCAGTCAATTGTACCTGCTCTTGAAATTGCCAATACTCACCGTAAGCCCTTGCTCATAATTGCTGAAGATGTTGATGGAGAAGCTCTAAGCACACTCATTTTGAATAGGCTAAAAGTTAGTCTCCAAGTTGTAGCAGTCAAAGCTCTAGGTTTTGGTGATAATAGAAAGAACCAGCTGAAAGACGTGGCTATTGCTACGGGTGGAGCAGGGTTCAGAGAAGAGGAGGTTGACCCTAAATCTTGAAGATGTTCAGCCTCATGACTTAGGAAAAATTGGAGAGGTCATTGTGACCAAAGATGATACCATGCTCTTGAAAGGAAAAAGTGACAAGGCTCAAATTGAAAAACGTATTCAGGAAATTGTTGAGCAGTTAGAGGTTACAACTAGTGAATATGAAAAGGAAAAACTGAATGAATGTCTGGCAAAACTTTCAGATGGAGTAGCTGTGCTGAAGGTTGGTGGAACAAGCGATGTTGAAGCAAATGGAAAGAAAGACAGAGTTGCAGATGCCCTTAATGCCACAGAGCAGCTGTTGAAGAAGGCATTGTTCTCGGAGAGGGTTGTGCCCTGGTTTGTTGCATTCCAGCCTTGGACTCATTAACATGCAGGTCAAAAAATTGGTATAGAAATTATTAAAAGAACACTCAAAATTCCTGCAATGACCATTGCTAAGAATTCAGGTATTGAAGGATCAAAGTGGAGAAAATAATGCAAAGTTCCTCAGAAGTTGGTTATGATGCTGTCATTGGAGATTTTGTGAATATGGTGGAAAACGGAATCATTGATCCCTACCTACTAAGGAGGCTGAGGCGAGAGAATCACCTAAGACTAGGAGTTGGAGGTTGCTGTGATGCCATGGTACTCTACTCAGGGCAACAAAATGAGACTCTGTCTCTAAAAAACAAAAAAAGGAATCATTGATCCAACAAACGTTGTAGGGACTGCTTTCCTGGATGCTGCTGGGGGGCTTCTCTGTTAACTACAGCAGAAGCTGTAGTCACAGAACTTCCTAAAGAAGAGAAGGACCCTGGAATGTGTGCAGTGGGTGGCATGAGAGATGGCATGTTGGCATGTCCTAGCATAGGGATTTACCATTAATGAACTGTGACAGGAAGCTCAAGGCAGTGTTCCTCACCAATGACTTCAGAGAAGTCAGTTGAAGAAAGTGAAGAAAAGGCTGGCTAATGTTTAAGAAAATCACTATAACCACCAGTTACTGGATTCAGTGGACAAATATAATGGTTTACTGCTGTCATCCATTGTCCATGGCTACAGATAATTTATTTTGTATTTTTGGATAAAAAGACATTTGTACATTCCTGATACTGCGTGCGAGAGCCATGTACCAGTGTACTGCTTTCAACTTAAATCACTGAGGCATTTTTACTACTATTCTGTTAAAACCAGAATTTTAGTGCTTGCCATCACCAGATGAAAAGTTCAGAAGCAGCCTTTCTGTGGAGAGTAAGAGTAATTGTGTACAAAGTTGAGAAATATCCAATTATGTGACAACCTTTGTGTAATAAAAATTTGTTTAAAGTTAAAAAAATTTTTTTTTCAAGGCTAGGGGCGGTGGCTCATACCTGTAATCCCAGCACTCTGGGAGGCCAAGGTAGGTGGATTGCCTGAGCAAGACTAAGACCCAGTCTTTAAAAAAAAAATAGCCGGACATTGTGGTCAGGGCCTGTAGTCCCAGCTACTTGGGAGGCTGAGGCAAGAGAATCACTTGAGCCCAATCACTTGAGTGTGAGGTTGCTGTGAGCTGTGACGCTATGGCACTCAACTGAGGGCAACATAGTGAGACTCTGTCTCAAAAAAAAAGAAGTAAAAAGAAATTTCCACTAGTTAATGAGTCAGTTTTATTGACTGACTGTACTATACTATTACATACTATACTGTTGCAATTTATCAGCTTTTTAAGGTTTCAAATTTCTGTAAAAGTGTTCATAATATTTTCTTGGGGTATTTTTAGACTCTTCTATTTGTAGCTGTATTATCCCTTATCCCTCTTGTTTTTAAGATTCATTATTCCTTCTACCAGTTTTGTGATTCCCCCCCCTTTTTAAAAGTTGGATGTATGACTTGTTTGTATTTAGAATTAATAATACTTTCATATGTAAGCATATAAGGCTCTATATAGCTTTGCCTGTTTGGCTTTTTGTAGCATACACAATTTTGATGTGAAGTGTTTTCGTTATTGTTTAAGTATTTTTAATATAGGTTATATCAACCTTAATGCATCTTGAATTTAAAATATTTAAAATTTCAATATTATTTAAAATTTATTGTTAGCTTTAACTTAGCGTTATAGACAAATGAGGTACCAGTATGAACCAGTTCTTTGACGTTTGTTGATTTTTGCTTTATGGACTAGTATGTGATCAATTTTTGCAAAGGTATTATCTGTATCTGCAAAAAATATTTTTCTCTAATTGTTGGGCATGCTGTACAAATATGTATTTGTACATCAGATAAAATTTGTAAGTTGTATAATTACACAGATTATCTAATCTTTAGAAATTTTTGACTGTTTGCTTTTTTAATAATTGTTAAAATTTCCATCAAAACAGATTTGTTCATCTCCCCGTGTAATTCAATGAGTTTTGCTTTATATATTTTGAGGTTAACTTATTAGGTAATTCCAACTTAATATTGCTATATCTTCTGGGGAGTTGAACTTAATACTAGGTAGTGAGCTTCTTTTTCTCTTACTAGGGTTTTATCTTATAGTCTATATTTGTAATATTACAGCTGTGCTATTTTCTTTTGGTTAATGTTTGTCTAGTGTATCTTTTTCCATCTGTTTACTTCCAGCCTTCTGTGTACTTATGCTGAGGTGTATCTCTAACATGCCAGATCACACCAGTTCCCTTAAATATAATGTAATTATTGATATTTTTGTGTTATTGCAATACTATCTTGATTTTACTTTTTGTGTTGTTTTTCTTTCTTGCCTTTCTAAACATAGTTTTTTTCTTCTCATTCTATATACTTTCTATTAGTTTGAAATTATTATATTCTCTTTATAGACATGTTGTGGTTACTCTTGAAACTATATCTCACATATCTTTTAAAGATTAATTTTTTAGCAATTTTAATTGATATGCTATTTAAATATAGTGAAATTTCAAGATTTCTACAATCAAGAAATATAACTATTTCATCACCTTCCAAAGTCAGTGTGTGCCCATGAAAGTCAATACCATCTCCTCTCAGCCCTTGGCAAACTACTGTTCCAAAACGTCATATATGAAAACATACAGTATGTAGCATTTTGGATCTGGATTTTTGTTTTAGCATAACACACTTACAGCTCAACTGTGTTGTATCAATAGGTCATTTGTTTCTGTTGTTGAATAGTATTCCATTGTATGGATGTACTACAGATTTTTGTATCTATTTCCAAGTTGAAAGACATATTGGTTGTTATTAATTATGGATGATTTGGAATAAAGACACTGTAAACATTTGCTTGTAGATTTCTGTGTGCAATATGTTTTTATTTTTCTTGGAAAATACCTAAGAGTGGAGTAAATTTGTATGATATGTTTATGTTAAACTTTAAAAGAAGCAGTCATATTCTTTGCCAAAGAGGCTCTATCATTTGCATTTTTGCTAAGAATATAAAGGTTTCAGGGCTGTGTATCCTTGTTAGTATTTAGTATTATCAATATTTTTTATTTTTGCTATTCTAATAGGATGTAGTGACATCTGTATTTCTTCCTTGGTGGAGTGTTTATTCATATCATTTGCCCAGTTTTGATATTGGATGCTTTTTTCTAATTATTGAGATTCAAGAATTTATTGCAGTATTTATCAGATTGAAATCTTTTTTTTTAGATACAAGTTTTACAAATATTTTATGTGGCTTATATTTGTATTTTCTTTACAGTGTTTTTTAAAGATCTGTTTTTAAAAATTTTGATGAAATCCAATTTATTGGCTCTTTTGTTCTCTAGTTATATCTTTGGAATCACATCTAAGAATCTTTTTAATTTTTTATTTTTTTTATTAAATCATAGCTGTTACATTAATACAGATGTAAGAAAATCTTGCCTCACTCAAGTACATCAAGATTTTCCTCTAGAAATTTTGGGTTTTACTTGTAGATTATGTTAATTTTTGTATATTGCACAAAGTTTATTCTTCCGTATATGCACACTCAGTCATTCCAGCACTATCGAAATTGCCCTTGCAGTTTTGTCAAGATTCAGTTGACCAAATATGTGTGGGTTACTGGTAGACATAGTATATTCTGTTCCACTGATCTTTGCCAATAACAATATGTTTAATTACTATAGCTTTTTGGTAAGCTATGGTATGAAGTATTATGAGTCCTCCAATTTTGTTCATATTTTTCAGAGTTGCATTGACACACTTCTGTATGTTCCATATTACCATATAAATTTTGGAATTAACTTATGATTTGCTCAAAATATCCAACTGGAATTCTTAACTGAGATCATGTTGAATATGTGGATCAGTTTGGGAATAATCACTACCTTAATTTTGAGGCAGCATTTTGTCTTTCAGTCTAGTATATCTCTGTGTCTACTCAGATCTTCTTTGTTTCACTTTATAAATTTTAGTTTTCAGCATGCAGATCTTGCATATATTTTGCTAGATTTATACTTATTTGATATTTTTATGATGCTGTTGTAAATGGTAATGATTTTTAAATTTTTCTTTTTTGAGGAATCATTGAGGATATAAGATGTGTCACACACTGAGACCCCATCCCCTCCCTCCTTCCCTGATTTTTAAAATTTCAATTATTCATTGTATAGAATTAAAATACGGTTAATGTTTTAAAAATATGTTGACCTTGGGTGGTGCCTGTGGCTCAGTGGGTAGGGTACCAGCCCCATATACCGAGGGTGGCGGGTTCGAACCCAGCCCTGGCCTAACTGCAACAAAAAAATAGCCAGGTGTTGTGGCGGGCGCCTGTAGTCCCAGCTACTCAGGAGGCTGAGGCAAGAGAATTGCCCAAGCCCAAGAGCTAGAGGTTGCTGTGAGCTGTGATGCCACGGCACTCTACCAAGGGTAATAAAGTGAGACTCTGTCTCTCTAAAAAACAAATGTGTATATACACATTGAGCGTGTTCCTTGTGATATTTGTAAATTTACTTATTCTAGGAATTTGTGTAAGCTCTTCATCTGTGAACAGAGGTTGTTTTATTTCCTTTCCAATATATATTCTTTTAATTTCTTTTTTTTTTTTTTTTTGCCTTATCATGTTGGCTAGGACCACTAATACAATATTAAAAGTGATAATAGTGACCATCTATTTCTTGTTCTTGCTTTTAGGGAGATAGTGCTATCTTTCTTTCCCTCTGTATATTAACTATAGGTTTTTTGGTAGATGTCCTTTCAAGGAAAATAATTTTTACTTCTATTTCACATTTGCTGAGAGTCTTTGTCATTGATGCAAAATGTATTTAAATGTAGTCAAATACTTTCTGGAAAATGTTGCTAATACATCTGTTTGCTGGAAGAATTTGCAGACCATTTCTATTATTGTTTTCTTAACTGATAACATTTTTCAGTAAAGCAATATGGGTTTGGAATTT